TCCAATAAACCCTATATTTATACAGAATAAATTAAATGCAATTCTTAAATCAGCCTCTTTCGCCGATAACGAAGCATCAATCCATCTGATTTATTTCACTTTCTATGTAAACGAGTAATAACAACGGTATAATAAGGGTGTGAGTATGGGTAGTGTGGGCTTGTGTGTGAATCTGTGGTGAGTGTGGGTGTGGACGTAGATGTTGCTGTCAATGAATACAAGACACAGCTCCACGCACAAGCCCACACCGCCCACACCCACACCCGACTTTTTTCCAACATGAATCAACATATTTTGCTATTATAGATCCACATACAGGAGTGTTTATCGTACTTTATCTCCTATGAATCATATTTTTGTTCGTCATAAATTGATGTGAAGTGTTTTGAAGATAAGACCCACGAAAAAGACTATAAAACTAGATGAAATCACTGACGTTGTTATATTCATTGAGTACTATTATCGCGGCCAAGAAGAAATGGTAGAACCGAAACCGCTATACGTTGCCAGCAGTGTAGCTAGCTTACGTAGTCAAAGTAGTTTCCATCGTGAACAAAATCAATTATTACCATTAAAACGACTGGTGCAATTGTATCAGCACGTTAAAAATGAGGCAAAACAATATTTATATGTAGAAGGTGACGAAGAACGTGCATATCTTGCTTATTACGAGGCCTTTCAATATTTGAACTTGATAACTGAATGTCAAGAATACTCACAACAATCAGTAAGTATGATAGAGAGTTGATAAAGATAGTTCTCTATGTTTTTTGCAAGGAAAACTTTCAAACAAAATATGAACAAAAACGCGTTCATTATCAGAAACTCGAATTAGAATTACGTTTGAAATTAGAAGAAAGGTAATAAGTAATTGTGATCTTATTCTAACATAGTAAGAATTTTCATTAGATACCAGCAATCTGAACTTATTGATAATGATGACGAAGAGTCAAGTGAGTTGAATATACTTACTAAGATCTCATGTAATATTGACTGTTCTGTTTTATAAAATAGTTAGCCTAATTTCAAGTAGTGAATCCGAGGATAGTAAGTGTTGATGTGACAAATTTTCTGTGAAATTTTCATTTTCTTCTTATTCAATAGCTATACAAGACGAACATGTGATCAATTACGAAAGGCAGTCCTCTTCACGTTTGATTCAACACTCTAGAGCTATGGTGAGAACTCAGCCGCCTTCGTACCAATCAACAAGACTTTTGCATAGAGTCCACACACCTTCATCAAATCGAGCCGTGATAGAATCAACCATAGTATTCGGAAGTTCGTTCTCACGTAATGATGAAGATGAGAAACACATTTCCAAGTATCGAACATTCAACGAGTGTTTAGCAGGTGAGAATATGCTGGGTTCTACAATTTTGACTATCAATTAAAAATTTATGCAATTGTAGTCAATTGTATTATTCTATCCGAAACATTCTTACACCCATATTTACGAAAATTAGAATTTTGTACAATATATGTATGTACTTTTGGCATTTTTCAGCATCGAGACCTTCATCATCCGTATGGAATTATACTCCATCATCGAGGCCAAGATATTTGTCAACTAGGCCACAAACGTCTAGGTTGCCGCAAATTCAGTGAGCGATAAATATTCTATCATGCTTCTTTCATATATAGATATATGATCTCTTTAGAACAGCGAAACCAGCTACTCGTACATGTATCGTCTGCTTTGATGATAAGCCGATCGCTGACTTTGGTGAACGTTTTGATTGGGCATGTCAACACGTTTCACGACAAATTTGTACTGAGTGTGTGCATGATCATATTCGCAGTGTTATTAAGGATGGTTGTACAACTGATGTCCATTGTCCAGAGCAAGGCTGCAATGCTTTGTTCGATTGTGACACTGTTCATAGAGTTTTAATTGAGTTCAGCAAATCTCCAGAACGTTGTAAAACAGCTTTTGGTCGATACGAAGATCGATTGAGTAAGAGATATATCGAAGGAATGAAGAACTTTGTTTATTGTGCATATGGATGTGGTTCGGGTGTTCAACTTGTTAATAATGTAGGGCCCATATTCAAGTGTACACATTGCGGAAAAGAAACGTGTGTTCATCATCGTGTTCCGTGGCATTCCGGAATGACCTGTAGGGAATTCGATCGAAAATTAAAATCCAGTCAGGAAAAGCAAAAAAACCAGAAATGGCTGCGTGTCCATACAAAAAACTGTCCTAACTGTTATGTACCTATTGAAAAGAATGAAGGATGTTTCCATATGACATGTTTCAATTGTAAACATGAATTCTGTTGGATGTGCTTAGTGGACTATTATCCTGGTCGAGGACATGGGAGTCAACATCATGCAATGAATTGCCCGCATTATAAATAGACACGAGTTTCTATTGCTATGAAACGAATAACCATGTACTGTTCAATGATTTTGTTTCTACAATCAAGTTGAAAATTCTATCCCTAAATGTATTGTCATTCAAAATAGTCTATTGATAATTGAAATTGATGAAAATTATCAAAGTGTTCTGATTGAATTTTGACTTAATTTAAAATTGTCTTTTATTTTGATTTGACGATAAAAGCAAAACTAACGGGTGGGTGTGGTTATGGATCTTCTCTTCATCAGTATCCACATCGACATCGACACCCACACCCTCATTATTTGATAAAAATTAAAAGATGAATAGATAGTCATTTATCAACAAGAACAGCATTGACTGTTGATAGTGAGGAATTATGTCATAATACATTGATTCATTGATTTTGAACTATTCAATGCTCTGCAAAGAAGTGTTTTAGGAGTTTATCTTTCAACTTTAAAAATAACATCATCTGAACCGTATTGTACTGTTCGAAATAAAACCATTCATATGTCTTTTTCTTTTGTTTTTCCCATTCGATGCTCTGTTAAATCTCGTGATGTAGCAGAAGAGTCAACATCAAGACTTCAGTAGTAATTAAAAACTGTTTGAAGAATTCCATTATTATGACCTAAGATCAACGTAGTAAATAGTAGTTTCAATTGAAGTCATAATCCACATGTCTTAATGAAATTGAAATCTTACTGTCATAGGTAATGTATACCGTTGCTGGTTAGAGTTATTTCTGATTATGAATGTTTCATTTTTATATCTATTTATAAATAGAGAAATAAATAATTAGATAGTAATCGCATTGGATAGGATTATGATTGAGAATATGGATAGGTACGAGTGTCAGTAAGAATACCCTTATCACCCACAAACAACATAAGTTCGATGGTAAAAATCAACTTTTTAATTTTTAAAGAGCTAGAAACATCCTAAACAATAGGTGTATAAATAATCAAAAATGATGTGTTAACTGACTTTATTTTTGACTTTAACTCTGAGGAGTAACAGGGCTGTATGTTTAGGAAGAATTTTATGATATATATAGATGGACTCAGTTGTTTATGCTGATTACAAATATATCATTTTGTTTTTGTTAGAACGCTAAATCATTCTGGCCAAAATCGATTACATACGAATCAAAAAATATATTTTTGGCACCTACCAATGAAGCTCAGAATACGGAAGGAGTATTTTCATGGATGTCCTTTTATTGTATGTACAAGTGAACAATGTTACCTAAAGAAAAAACGAGTGAGAACAATATTTTGTCAGACTTCTTTATGCCATTTGATGAAATAAAGAAAAAGATTTCATTTGATATATAATTTTAATTTAACGAGCTGAAGATAGGAGAAAAAATTTCATATAAAAACTCCATAGTACGACACTATTGGAAATCGATAATATCGAGTTTTGAGTCGAAAATGTCTAATTCGAACGGCAATTGACTGCCTTGCATCAAAAGAGGCTATTGAAAAAATAAGAAGCTCAATTTTGAGAGAAGTTCGATTTCATCGCTTAATGTCTCTCTTTCTTTTTTGACTCATTCTCACTGGAAAATTGTTTTTCAGATTCAGAAGAAAATTTAAAAAATGATAACTACATTGGACGAAATCGAATGACTACGAAGAAAGTTTCCAATGTGTTACCTTGCTGTATTACAACTCACATGCGTTCGTATACATCAAGTGGATATAGAAAATTTTGAGCTAAGGATAAAAGAAGCATATTTGGTATCTATTGGTGATTCATGGATTTATAGTTTTTTAAAACATACGTATGATCGATGTTTCTCGTTTCTTTTATTTTCACTTGTGTGACATGGATCGCAACTACATCGTCTTTTGGCAGTTTTTTGCTTTTGTCTTCACACACTAAAATAAAATGTGTCTCAACGAGCACCTCGTGTCGTATTTCTTGCGTTCTTTGCTATATATTTTCAGCGGAGAACGCAAGAAATACGACACGAGGTGCTCGTTGCGACACATTTTATTTTAGAGTGACTGACTGAAATATTATTCGACGTATGACTTCGTGTATCGCATGTATCGGCTCGATATAAGAAACGAAAAAAAAACACTCGCTTACTGTCATCAGTATCAATATTGACGGTGAATACAAGTTGAGAGCAGACATGCATACCATTTTTTTCTCTATCTTATCGTTCTAGGATAGTGCGTTGTGTGTAAAGAACCATAAAACGAATATTACAATAATTTTATTACATGACAACGTAAGCGAATATTGTCTATTACACGTGTTGTGTATCTTTTCGATGAAGCCGACAAAACTATGTAAAAATCTAAGTTTGAGTGATTTGAAAGTTTCCTAAACAGGTAATGAGGTTTTTATGAATATCTAAAGAAAGATGTTTGACGGATTTGTTTTGTAGTCATCTCATTTCTTGTTATCGTTCAGTGTTCTGATGAAAAGTTTCCTATAAGTTTTGTTATCAAAATCGATAAATTAGAAAGTAATTATCTTATTTTTGTCTGAAATTTTTTTGAACTTTGAAAGACGAAATCACGTTTCTCACTATAATCTGACTTGAAGATATTTGATTTGTGCAAGTCATTTTAAAATTCCAGAGACTTCATAAATTTGTTTTTTAAAAAAAATTTTCCTTTTTGTGCTCTATTTAGAAATGTCAACAACAGAAAATAATACGTCAGAATATATCGATGTCGGTGCAGTTTACACTGCTCCTGGCCACGATCCACCTTTAGGACCTACTCGAATCGAAATTCGTTCGGGTCGCATTGTCTCACTTTGTCCGTTGTCTGTCGAAGACATGCAACCGAATGTCAGACATCTTCTTGCTCTACCTGCTATTTCTAATGCTCACGATCATGGTGTAGGTCTACCTACGCTTTCATTTGATGCGCCTGATGAGACACTTGAAACCTGGTTACCTGCTCTTTCTTATAAGCCTCGCACAGATCCATACGTGCTTGCTACGGTGGCATTCGCACGCATGGTCGAGAGTGGTATATGTGCCACGAATCATTGCCATAATCCTTTTAGCACTGGGAATCTATTCGATGAAGCCGAAGCTGTATCACGTGCTGCTCGTAATGTTGGTATTCGTGTGGCTTTTGCTGTACCGTTCATTGAACAAAACTTATATGTTTATGGAAACATCAAAGAACTACTCACGTTTCTTCCATCCGAAGATCATGCGATGATATTAAATTGGTCGACGAAATTGAAAGCTATGATAAGTGAAACAATGGCATTGTTCGATAAAATCACTTCACTAGAGCATGAATTTTTTCGCGTACAATTCGGCCCAGTCGGCCCTGAATGGCTCTCTGATGAAACATTGGCCTTCATAGCTAAACGCTCGGCTGAGAGCAGTCGTCGAATGCATATGCATCTACTTGAAACAAAGTGGCAACGTGAATCGGCTGATGTTCAGTACTCACAAAGAGGCTTGCTTGCTCATCTCGACAAACTTGGCTTGCTCTCACCACGTCTAACCATCGCCCATGGTGTTTATCTAACAGAAGAGGAGTGCACTCTTTTGGCTGAGCGTCAGGTCATTGTATCTGTTAATACTTCGTCAAATCTTCGGCTTCGCTCAGGTTTAGCTCCGGTTCGTCTTTTTCGGCATAAAAATCTTCAATTTGGTTTAGGCTTAGATGGAATGAGCTTTGATGATGATAGCGACATGCTCAAAGAACTTCGGCTATTTTGGCATCTACAACGAGGATTTGGAGGAGAGCGAGTGCTCAATGAAGCCGATCTTTTCGAAGCAGCCTGCGTCACAGGAAGAAAGACAATCATCGATGATGGTGGAGGTCGATTGGAAGTCGGTGCTCCGGCCGATTTCATTATACTTGATGTGCGTCGAATGATGCATGATCGTGTACGATCGTCACCACCGAAAAATATGCTGTCATTATTATTGAGTCGAATGAGCAAGAAAGACATAGTGAGAGTTATTGTTGCTGGACGCACGATCGTAAATGAAGGCAAGTGTATAACTGTCGACCTGCCAGAACTCAATGAGCGACTCATAGCAGAGGCTCGCATTAATGGATCGTCTGAAGATGATAATGGACAAATTGAAAGAATACGAACAGCAGTAGAAAAATTCTATTGCTGTGGATTTCATCGTGTCAAAACAGAAAAATGATTGTGCTCATATTATCTATTAGTTTTTTTTTTTCAAATTTTTTAAATATTTACGAAACATCAATAATCGAACTCCTGATTCCATAGTAATCAATAATAAAACAACATATGGTATCATGCAATATCTTCACTATGCTATAATTAATTTTATTTCATTCTAATATTTATAGCTCGTATAGCTTTTATAGGCAAGAATTAGAAAATACAAAATCTAGTTTGAGTTTTTTTCTTTGATTTATTACCTATTAAATGTAAAAAAGCGAAAACTTATCGTAAAATCATTTTCGAGAAGTTGCAGAAAACGATCATAGTTTTCAAAGCGATCTCTCGAGTATGCCAGTAAGTAATTGTCATTATTTTCATAACTCATATTCTACACTCTTCTTGAACCTGAAATAAATGTTTCGCTTGAAAATCTTTATAAACTGAATTGATATTTTTAAACATCATCATCGTTCATTCAAGAGCTATTTATGTAATTGACTAATCCATAAAAATCTTTGTGATCTATCATACATACATACATTCTACATGACTTTTGTACTTCGTGTTAATCACAATTTGTTACGTACAAAAATAAATGAAAGTGAGTGTTGAAAATTACTGAAATAAAGGGAATAACCAAAGTTAATCTATAATCACGTATAATATGATTGAGTACATACAAATTTTCGATTGGATCCAATATTTAACCTAATGATAACTTGAACAGTACGGATGTAATATCGCCACACTGAATCCACTCATGCTATTATTAATGCCTATCCCAAAGCCGTTACATTATGTTCAATATACACATTACAGGAGTCCAAATTAAGAACCATGACATTGCTGAATGGCAATTTAAAACAAAAACAAATGCCAAAAAAAAAACATCTGTATGTTATTCATTCCATTTCTATCAATGGCAGCAAGTCTAGTGTCCACGAAAGCAACAAAAAAGTCACGTGCAAATTCCGTATGGTTGAGTAAAATTGGTTGCTTTGGGAGCGAATGTCCCAGTTGCACCTAGATATATAAATCTGAGTTAGTGTACTAGAAATATTCTGAATGAAGAAATATCCAAACGTTTACATCTGAAATTATTTTTCTATATCGCATAACATAGATAGAAAATATCATCTCGTTGTCATTCATGTCACTAAAAAGAAAGAATAGAGACAGAGAAGCCGTCCAGAGAAGACGAATTTATCTCACTTAAAGAATTAGTCAGTAAGATCAAAAAAAAGAAGTTCAAAAAAGAAACAAATATGCTGTACTTTCGCGAATGATGATATAACGCTAAGTATTGCTACGATCTCATTGAAGAGAACCCCGAAGGAGATATATGCAAGCAATATAAATTAACAAAAACCAACAAGGAATATGGAAAAAGAGGAAAACGAAAATTTTTATATCGATAACTTTTTAACTGATTTTTATTCTCCAATATGCAATCGATTGGCAAAAATAATTGAAGTCAAATGAGGGCACTGCAGCGCATAGTTCAAGACACGTATCTTTAAAAATTGAAGAAGCATAACTTTGTTGAAGATGTTACTCTTATCTGATACAACATTGGATGTGGGTGTGAGTGTGGATGTTCAGTTCATTCACACCAACATTCACACTCATGCGCACAACCTGTTATCCAAAATGGTAATCCGGATATTGTTTCGAGTCTCAGTGAAATAGGTAATATTATGTATCTGCAAGAATGATTTTCGAGATCTGCAAAAGTCAGACAATAAATGAGATTCTGGTATGTACCAAGATCGATGTAACACAGTTGCTTCCCAAGACTGCCATACGACTGACTCGGGGTCTGGAGGTTACTTATTCATGTGAAGACTCAAGTGAGCAGGCATCTTCGAGGGGTAGTAGTGTTCACTGTCCAAGTCGAAATTCGATAAAGATGGATCTTCTCTCGATGTGAAGGTTCTACAATACTGTCACTTCGAAATAAGTTGGATGACTTGGCACACGAAAAGTTCATCGTCCTTATACATATTGCACAGGCCATTGATATCAGATGCAAAATAGGCGAAAAAACCGTGGTTCAAGAAACTGATGGAGAGCACGGTATGAACGAATTGCAATACTTCGCAGTATGAATAGACCGCTTGTTCTGAGCAGAATACCGCAATTTGGTTGCATTTCTTTTCTCTCAGAGAGCGATACCTTTTTTTTCTATTATGTCAATTCATTGATTGGCCAATTTTCTGAATTCAATGCATTGGTTTTATTAAATCCTTGCTCGAACCATATCAAACACCCTGTAGTGATTCTCCTTTTTTTCTGATCAATTTCTATTGGCTGTTTCAACCTTCGGTTGATCGATTTCGGTGGCTGCGTCCAGTTTTTGTTCCGAAGTCGAGAGCCACCTTCCTGTTTCAATTGTAATCTCACAATCATCTAATTTCAACAATACTTTTCAAAGTCGACACCTTAGAAGGCGTCCAAAGAACGTACGTGACGTGGAATCTTATCTGATTGTATGAATAAGCTCGCGTTTTTCTCTTCTCCTCTGTCGACACTGTAGAAAAAAAACAAATGTCAGATTCTTCATTCTCGCTCTCGTTCTCACCATCATTTTCTCCAGAGAATTCTGTGAAGCAACAAGATAGATTTAATGTTTGATTTTTATTTATTTTTAAGCGCATGATAAAGTAAGCAAATCAAGCAAAAGCAGCGACTCTATTTCTGTGGTAGTAATTTTTAATGTGAAAAGCTAGTTTGATTATATACGGGATAATAAGTCGTAGACCAACAGTTAATCCACCATATAGACCTAATATTTTCGATAAAATGTAAACAAAATTGTTGCGCTTCTCGATTGTGTATGAGCAATAAGCTATGGCACATTGATTGTAGAATGACGAGTAAAACATATCGATTTCCCATTGTTCAACAAAGAGTTCGTCGACTATTTCTTGAATAAGTGTATTTGTCTTAAAATTACTTTCTATTGTAGAATTCATAGCAGATATATTCACAATTGCTTGAAGATCAACAGGATCAATGATCGCCACAGTTGCGTAGTACAACACTAAATCGACGCATGTTTGATTATAAAAACACTCGAGTGTTGATCGTAACAATGTTTCTACTGGTGAACAGGCCACATTCCAGCCAGGTATTGCAAATTGCAGAGTATTGGTGAAAGGACGATAAAATCCTCCCGTTTGAAGACAATCAGTTCGTGTTCCACAAGAACATCCATCGTTAAACTTGACAGCCTTTGTAGGAATCGTCGCAACGGAACTGTTGTATTTGATCCACCAAGACCAGTTCGAAAAATAACTCGATATAAAAGCGCTTCGTTGTGTCATTTCATATATCAGTGTTAAAATACGAGAAAATTTTTCTGAAGTAATTGTCTTAAACTGATGAAAAATTGTGGCTATTTGCAGACGAAACTCGAATTCAGGTATCATTTGAGCACTAATAAAAGTATCGGCCAGGAATTCATCAATGGCATTATTAATAGTTGTCTGTGAAAGGTTACATATTATTGACAGAAAACCGAAATATGCTGCTCCACGTCCACGAAGATCGGCTGTGTCCCTCTGATACCAATGTTCGTCACCAAACATACATAGACGCCACATATATGTGACAAAATCGCTTGAACATACTTGATGAAAAGTCGCGTTGATCGTAACGAATTCCTTATATGATACCGAAATTTGATTACAAGGACATTGAAGTGTTTTGGAATGAGAACTTAACAATTCTTCATATTGAATTTGAGAAGGATGTGAGATAATAATATTTGATGTTTCTGTCGATAAACATGTGAACATTGTTATACTACACATACAGATCAATAATAGCAATAGGTAAAGTCGTGTTGACCATCGTTCACGTTGAATAGTATCTTGTTCATTTGATTCACTGTCAAACAAATTTAATAGAACAAGTTTGCGTCGAAACTGATTCATTAGATCGAAATCCATACGACGATTTTCTAAAGTGAAAATCAAATTATATGAAGAGTTCTTTTGAGTTTTAGTCGATCAAAAGAGGGAATGTGATTGATGAACAAATAATCACTTACGATGAGTGTTTTCTTCATTGGTCCAGGTTTGCAATAAACTATTTACTGTCTTTTTTATATTGATACACTGGAAAAAGATGGTGACAGCAAAAGGACTAATCAATCGAAAAATTATACTGAGGCCACCGAAGAGACCAATGAGTGTCGTAATTATGTAGATAACACTGCTTCGCCTTTCGTAACTATATGAGCAATAAGCTGGATGACATTTCTGATAAAAAGCTCGATAAGAAATCAATGAGTTCCATTGTTCAACCATAATCTCATTAAAAATCGTATCTGTTGAAGTATTTGGTGAATATCGACTGGAAAGGTGAGGATCAAGCGCATATACCTCTATAATATTTCCAATTCCTGCGCTCTCGAGGAGACTCTGGAATTCGCCAATACAATTATTATCATACCAACACATCATTGACGATTTCAAGACAGAATTAACCATGAAACAACCTGCCCGGATTCCCGGGAGGTTAGAATATAAATCTAAAGTCACGTCGTCATAGCTTATCACATTACGCACATTACATGTTGAATCAAGAACACAATAACACATATCGCCATTTGACTCTTCGACTGCCATACTGACTGCCATTATTCGCATTGGACCTAATTCAGATTGCCTGTATCTAGAAAAATAATCTTTCAATAGCCATGTATTTGTCATCAAGTAAGTAACGTATTGATTGGTTTGAAGAACTGCGTTGGTTAATGACATTGTGTGATGAAAATCGGCTCGTGTCAATTTGAAAAATGTTGCGATCGATTCATTTATTTGTATAATGAAGGAATCGTATCGTAGAACTTGAACATTGACAAATGTTGTCGAATAAAATTGACGAATGGCATCGTTTATAGTCAAATTGGCTATCTCGCAGAACGTCGACAATGTTTGAAAGTAAGACGAAGCTGAGGATAAAAACCCGAATGATATATCAGAGCTACTGACAGGTAAAAAACGTTGATACCACCATGGTTGAACAAAATCACTTGAACACACTTGATGATAAGTTGGTGTTACTTGAAGAAATTCTTCGTATGGAATTGAAACCACAGTACATGGACACTGCAGTGTTCGATTATATTGTTCGAATAATTTTTCGTATTGTTCTTGTGTTGGAGATTCAACTGTTTGACTGATCGTTTGAACTGATAGTAAAGTATAAACAATCAATACACTTATGGAAACAGTAAACAGGATTATATACAATCGAGAGGCAATACGACCATGATGAATACGATTTGGATCACGCGACTGACTTGTAAATATATTCAATTCTTCAATGGTTTTTTCAATCATAAGAACAGCATTTTTGAGACGAGTTCGAATTGTTTGCCCTAAAACCATCAAAGAACATATTGTTTGATTGATATTTAAAAATCTTACTTTCAGATTGACTTGTCATGGTTCGTCGATGTTTCAAGAAGAAAATGAGATTGATTAAATAAGGAATAGCCAGACGTAATGCTGTACTAAGCCCTCCGAAAAGAGCGACAAGAGTTGAAATAACATAGATCGAATCGAATCGACGTGAATAAATATAATGACAATAGATTGGTGCACATTCAAGATAATATTTATTGAACATCGTTTCAGTGATAATTCGTTCGATAAAAAGTTCATTGGTAAGTGATTCGATCTTTGTTGTTGGGAGAAATCTACTTGATTTAGATTGATCAAGGATTGACACATTAATGATCTTTTGATAACCAGAAAGAAGAATATTCAGACAGGATTGATCGTAGAAACATTCCAAAGTCGATGCAAGTGTCATTTTAAGTGGAAAACAGTCGATAACAATACCCGAAAGGGTTGCATTCGTTTCCATTGTATTCAGATCATAAAATCCATATTTTTCAAAGGCATTATACAGATAGAGGTTAGCAGGCATCGGACATGATCCATTATTTTTACAAGCACAAGGTGTTGTTGTTCCGTTAAGTACATATCTGTTTTCAAATATTCCTACATAAATCACTACGCCGTCTACAATGACAAGATCCTGCGCTGCGCCGAACTCTTCAGTCACAGCAATGTAATTAGTTGACAAGGCTGTTACCAGTTGGTTCGCTTGTGCAATTCGATGAATGAGTGTCAACGGCCGTATGAGAGTTGCTGATGATAATCGACGCAGAAGATCGAGAGTAGTTTCCGTCTTCGTTTTCAATAATTCTTCAGGCAATATCATTGAATTAATTAATGGCAAATTAGCAAATTGATCGAGTGCACTAATTGTTGTATTTGTTGCAGTTCGACAAAGTTCCCTAATCAATTGCCACATAGCACTCAAGCTTTTCCTTACATCTATTGGCCAAATCAATGTTGTATTTAATTCGAATGTAAAATCAATCCAAGATTGAGAGACAAAATCGCTTGAACATACTTGATGAAACAATGGAATAGTATTAACAAATTTTCCATAGGGAATTGAAATTCCTCTACATGGACATTGCAGACTGTCTGGGTATTTCTTCTTCAGATCTTCGTAGACAGATTGTGTTGGTACGTTGATAGTTTCATTTTTGATTTGTACACTAGTGAAAGTGTATAGTATCAGAGCAACGATAGAAGTGGCAAGAAGAAAAATAAAAATATGAGTAGACAAGATTTCACGACGAATAATTGTCTGATCAGTCGATCGGGATTCGAAAAGATTGAGTGTAGAGAGTTTTTGGTAAAGAGTTTTATATAATGATTGCAATAAATGCGGTAGAAACATGATGACAGTTTTTGTTTTTGAGAATAAATCTTGTTGAATGCAACTTTGTTTTTCTTTTTAAAATCTCATCAAATGAGCAGTAAAATAAAAGTAATTCTACTAATTTATAGTTATTCTCGTATGATGAAATACTGAAGAATATTCCAGAAAAAAAAATAGAACAGCTAATTTTCTTTTTCATAGTCAGAGAAAAAGAAATAATATTTTCAAGTTACAACCGTGTCAGCAGCCTATGTCATTAATGTTTCTTGAACAACCGTCATTTTTATGCTTGAAAATACCTCGATGGTAACGATTGGGACAAATAATAGCTCAACTTTCACTTTGCTTTGTGTTAGCTCGTTTCGACGAGCTTAACTTAGTTTATTTATTTTGTGTGTTAAATCTTTTCAAAAATGTTCTTAAATCACTAGGTGTATACATATATATCGATAGAGAGGAAAAGAAGAATAAGAGAGAAAGAAGGAGAAATAACAATAACAATAATAATACAGTAGAAAAAAGAAGCGAGAGAGTAAGAAAAAGAGAATCGAGGGTAGGCAAAGTCTGAATCACCGTTAACAATTTGTTAATCTTGAATAGTAGTGCTTTATTGCGTTCTTTAGAAGATGTGTATATCTAAGATGCAATCAATCTACTAATTAAAACTCTTTTATTTTAATAAGTGTGCTTTTTACTTTTAAAAGAATTAAAATGCATTCATGAGAGCACAAATAAAATAAATAAAAAAGAAAATGTAGAACTAATGAACACTTCTTTTGTTTCTCGCTATACTTTCGCCAGGGTATACAAGGCCACTCAATCGTGCTCAAGCACTTATACAATTAAAAAACGTACTAATCATGAAACGGACATTTTCATCAATTTTACTTAGTCTATGGTCTTTTTGATTTTAAATTGAATATTGAAAAAAAAAACAGCAGCTTTTTCCACAAAAAACTGCGGGTCTTTAGAATTGTAATTATGATATGCATAGTATATACTCTCTATTTTTATAAGATGCGGGTCTCTAGAATTATGATGACGATGAGCATAGTATATACTCCCCTATTTGTCTTGGATGTGGATCCAGTGGGTCTTGAGAATTATGTTGATAACATGTATAGTATACGCTCCTATTTTTATAGGGTGTGGGTTTTTAGATGTATAATGATGATGTATATACTATATACATCTCATTGTTAAATGGTGTGGATCTTACAGGCGTTTAGTATTAAATGATGATGTATATAATATATACCTCTATTTTGATAGGCTGGATGTGAGAATCTTCTTTTGACTCACACCCACACCCAATAAAAATAGGGGTATATATACTACAGATATCATCAGAATTTTAAAGACCACAAGTTCCAGATTTCAGTTTGAAATCGAGTGTCTTTTTTTTCTTCTAAATTCAGTTTGAAATCAGAAGAGTCATTGTATGATTTTACTCTAAGTTCTGTAAACTTCGACATCGTTTCGAGGAATATATCAGCCAAAAGAATGTTAGACGAAAATCTAGTAGTGTTGACTCATTAAATAAAGTTATATATCTTAAACTTCAATTGACCTTTTGGTGTTTTGGCTCTCTCGATCGAATCTAAATGATTTTGATGTAAATATATTTCAGACTAATCAGGAATTTGTCGTTTCGCACAAGGTAAACGACGTGTAAAATGAGCATTTTCGAAAAGTAATTTATTGATTGTAGCATTTCTTAAAAAACGATCTTGATCTATTTTCGTTGTAATGAAAAAGAACGCATCATCTAGAAGCAAAAAATCATTTCTTCTCATTTGAACATATCGAAAATGCTACTTTCGTCTACAGATGAATACTGCTCTATCATTGTAATGAAGTGACAATTTTTTTTTCTTATCAACTTGAAAGAAACTTTTGGCAAGAGAGTTGTTGACTTTCGTTTGTTAGCACATACAATTAATAGTGAGAGTATGAAATTTTTTTATTCTACAGTCGTCACCATCTCATTTCATTTACTATCTTTATTTCTTCTATGATTTGGTAATTCGAAAAAAGAACAAATCTGCAAGAATGGTAATCTTGCTGAATCATTTTTCTTGCTCATTCTGTCGAAGTGCAGAGGAATGAGAGAATTTTGTATTGCTTGCATGTCGTTTCTATACCAGTATGTTTGATAAAGCACAATACAAGTGAAACTGAATCTATGAATGTTCATAACCATTCTAAGATATTCTGACGTTCTCATGAAAGCAAGTTTTCGAGACAATACTATGCAAAGAAACCAACGAAAGCAATGATGTGAGATGTTTCTTCACAATGAGAATATATGGAGGGAAAATTTGAAATTCAGTTGAGTTTTGAATAAAATATTGCGAATCACAATCTAAACAACTATCAAAAATGATAGCATTTTTTTGAACAAACTGGAACCGATATGAACTTCATTATTAATCTGAATTCTTGTTCTTTTAAATTATTTCCAAGTTCTTAACTAGAAATTCGATGTTTCATACATAAATTGTATCAGCTACTTTTGATCTATTCGTTTTGAAGAATCTTCTCTTGCAGAGAAGTATTCCTGAAATAGAGTTAATTAGAATATCAGTGTCATCCTGAAAACAGTTCTAGAAATTAATGATGATACATTGGTGTCGCGTTTCTAGTTTTCATTTGATTTTTTGTCTCACAGTGAGAATTCGAAACAGTGTACGACAGTGAGAGTCAAACTTATTCTATTGGATTATTACTAATCCATCCTTTTGAAATGTCTTCTGATGAGACAAAGAGAAACAGAAAATTTGAAACAAGAACAGATGTGTGAGTACAACATTTGATCAGTAAGATATACGAAAGAAATGGATGGTGTTTTACACGTCCGGTTTTCAAGCAACAAATTCGACCATTCTTCTTATGAACACACGAGAACATTTAGATATTAGAGTGAAGTTGAATTCAAACATCGGTAAAGAATAGCTTCTCTCATGGATTTGTCTTTTCTTGCACTGATGTAAACAGAACATCGAATTTCTCTTAGTGCATTGATCAGAACCGCATTTAACGATAAAAAAGTTAGTAAGTTTTTTTTTCTGTATCAGGGGTCTCCATTGATGCTTGTGACGGAGAAAATGAACGTACTCTACCGTCAAATACAATACAAAGTCATGAAACCATCTTGAGGGTGAGAGTGAACAATAGCTATCATTATCACGAATTCGTCCCTGCTAAAGGATTCATCAAATGTCTGGATTTTCGGTTACTCTTGCCCATGTAGAAAAAATTGTGGAAAAATTGGAGTAAAATCGATTACAATCGAAGAAACAGTTATTCCACTCCATTAATCGATTAAGAATTAATTCAAATTAGCGATAATCGGTTATAATCAATGCCACAATTGATTTCCTATAACATCAATTGAAACCAATTACAATTGATTTTTATCTGTTCTCAATCAATCAGAAATCAATTAACAATTGATTCAAACTAGCTGCAATGGTTTACGGTTGACATCAAATAGATATCATCAAGATATCAATTACTGCGAGTGCAGCTGATTCTCATTGAGCAAGACTGGAAATTATTTTAATTTTGAAGAAAACATTTTCTGAATTATTAATCAGTATTCCCTAAAGTTTAGTGTACACATTTTTCCTCCAGGAACAAGCATATTTTGTTCTTTCACGCAAAACAAACTGGAATAATATTCTTTTTTGAACAAAAGAAAGAAACAAATAAAAATAATATTTTTGAAGATTAAAAAGAAGTTTCATCATATTCTACTTGAATAAATGGAAGAAACAAAAAAAAACCATTTTAAGATTAAAAAACAAATTTCATCATATTCTATTTGAATAAATGGAAAAGAAAAAAAAAATACTTTTAAAGAGAGCTTCCATGAGCCCATTGAG